TTATTTGCTGTTCAGGTTCCTACTGAACCTCCTCCCGAGGAACTTCTCTGACAGATTCCAATAAACTCTGATTCCCTCCCAACCTCTTCCAGAAACCTAAGTGCATATTTTACCTGCCAAATGAAAAAAAAACCCCAAAACCAAAAGCCCCTTCAGCAACTAAGTAGTTGGTCAAGCTTAGAGTTCAGTGCTGCTCAGCAGCTCTTCTGTTTCTTGCCTAAGTTCATGGTGTGACCCATCTTCCTCCTTTGTTGCCAAAATGTTCTAAGCTGCTGCCACCTTGCTTTTCTGATCTCCTTTATGAAGGAATTATTTTGCTTGGGGAGATAAAGTGCCTCTTACTGAAGATGGATAATGAATATTTAAGGTTTCCTCTTTTCTCCAGTTTCACCTGACTGTCAAAACTGCTACCTGTAACACTTCTTCATATTGAACACATTGTATCATAAAAGCACGAAATTTGAACATAAATGATTCTTCTAAGCTTCAAAATTATGCAGCATACTCTGTCACAAAGCTCAGCCAGTTCCACGAACGTGATCCTAAAACTGCTGATAAAGCTCTCACTTTATTTGCACGAGCACTCATTTTATTTGTTTACACACTGAGCCAAAGACAGAGGTAATGCTAGACTTTCTGTATTGAATATGCCATGAAAGCCTCACATTAAATAATCAATAAAGAACATTAAAATTAAGCCAGCCATAAAGTGGCAGCTTAGCTAAGCAAGTATTAAAACTCTTTTTCCCTTTTCCCAGCAAACCGCTGTGTGTGTGATCCTCACCACGCCTTACTGACCTGTTTGGTGCAGGTGATCTCTAGCCAGCTCAAATAATCTCATGTGCATGTTTGTGATGGGGTTAAAGGAGCCACAGGCTAGAAGGATGACAGGTATCTTGCTCTTCATCCTGACATCAAAACATTAAAACTCCACCCTAAAGAAAAAAAAGAAATTAAAAGACAAACTTGACCAAGAGCAGCCTGTCCATTGGTCCTAAACTCAAAAGAGCACTGTGGTCAGAACTGTGTATTCCTGCAACATTAATAATGTATGAGATCAGTCCTGTGTATCAACACAGCATACAGCAAGTACCTGCTCACACACAGGTGTTCTTTGATACTAATCAGGAGAACATCCACACATTCTGTTCCCCCACATACAAAAAAGGCTAGAAGGTCCTCCTAGAAATTCATACTGTCATTACTATTAAAAACTGACAAATTTTTACATGGTTTATAACTTTACTTTCAACCTGCTTTTTGTCACAGAAAATGGTTTTGTTCCTTCTGTCAACTGCCTATCAATAACTTTGGAACCTGTAGGCCTGCTGCCATTTCTCTTTCAATAACTTCTTACAATGAACCTTTGCAAGATGTGACAAAACTCCATAGGCAACACCCAAACCTACAGGTCTGACTTCCTCAGAGTGGGCAGGCAGCAGCTGGGGGCAGTGAGCAGGCAAACACTTCCAGCCAGATTATCAGCATTGGCCTGTAGAGTTCCTTAGCTGGATGGCACAGCAAGTGAGAGTGGATCAAGGACTGGGAACAGCAGGGAGGAGCAGCTACAGGAAAGCACCAGGGACATTAAGAAGCTATGAACAGGGTGACTGGGTAGGGAGCAATGCTGTTGGGAGGTCTGCAGGGGCATTTACTAACAACCCTCATATAATATAGTTAAAATGTCAGTCTTCTCAATAAAAATGTAGCAGAAATCAGTTTTAATTAGTTACTGTGCTTGGAAATGCTTATTTTCACAGCTCTTTTTACAACTGATCCAGAACACACCTGGCATGATAAAGTCACTTGTGACCCACATACATGTCTGTGAATCCAAGTTCTTTTGAAATCCCTACAATGCTTACACCTGTATATCATACACACACTACTCTCCTCCCTTTCCTTGGCCTCCAGCCCTCTCCAAGTGTAACTGTCTTCCTGAAGAAGACACTTTTATCCCAAACTTCAGAAGTCTTGGGCTAACACACCAAATCCAGTATGGGTTCTGTGCTCTGTTTTGCCAAATCTTAATCTCCATCTGCAGTGTACAAACCACTGTAGCTCACAGCCTCTCTCTTAATGTTCCCAGTCCTTACATTCCTTTTTTTTTCTCCTCTCCTTCTCTTAGTAAAATTTAATGATAATGGTTAAATCAATATCAAGTCGATGTTTTATAGCTGCCAACATTATCAGTTCATTTACAGAGGATTTATAACTCTGAACTGGGACTGTATCACAGAACAGCATTCAGTGCACACAGCAAGTTTTAATATTTTCACTTTTGACATGTTAGCAATTCACAAACTTTTTATAGAGAAATTTCCTTGAAGCATAAGTGCTATCTGTGCCTTGAGCATCTAGTACTGAATTCACATATAGAGACTCTTTTATAATGGTTTTATTTTACTTTACTCATTTCTTGTATCTTCCATCATACTAGGGGAGATATATAGGGGAGAAAAGACTTGTTGGGTGTAGAGCTATTGGAAGTTAGTACCAATTTTATAATCTAGCATGGTAGCAGCTGCAGGAAAACCATTTCACAGCACTCCCTCTCTTAGCCTCCTCTGATTTACTGTCCCTGTATAGACATGAACAAACTCTATGTGAAAACTGTATGCAAAATCTACAGGTTCTTTATTCAGAAAAACCAAACCCAAAGTGTTCTTTTGTTCAATATCAGTAATTCTGTAAATGTGTCTTCATTGTATAGGAAAAGGTCTTTTTGCCTTGGAACAGTGAGCAAATCTGAATTCTGAATTAGGACCTGACTGGGAGCTCTTTCACCTGCTGGTTCCTGGCTCTCCTCTGCTCTTGTCTGTTCTGATGAAGTGTCCTTGTGTCATGTCACAGTTTCATTGCAGTTCTTTTATGTGCTGTCTAAACCAAAGGATTTCTTTTGGTTTCTTTTAATTCTATAGACTACTCTATTTCTCACCTGAAACAAAGGTGTTGGATGGTTTGATTGCAGCTCTCACTCAGTTATACCTTGGAGACTTTAGGAAAGACTTCAACCTGTAATTTTTAATGATAACCAGACAGTACTGATAATGGAAACTCAAAAACCAAACAAACAACAACGAAAGATACAAAATGAAAAAAACCCCAACCAACAAACAAACCAAGAATGTACTAATAATAACTATATAATGAAGAGGCATTTCCTAAGATGCTTTTATACATACACTCCTCCACACACCCCATATATATAAAATACCTATGTATGTAAATGAAAATCAGAAGAGCAGTGTTTTTATTCCTACTATTTCTGATATTGTGTATCCTAAACCTATTCAACAGGTCTAGTACAACCTGTAAGGTTTAAAACAAAACTTTCTGATTCAGCTGCTATCTGGGCTGGAATTAATTACCTAAGGGTTGAAAATCATTAGAACACCATTCAAAATAACAGAAAAATAAAAATGTGAGATAACTGGTTTTTAGCTAAGCTCTCTTGAGAAATCAAACACAGGAGAAAACTTTAAACACAGAACCTGTGTGCTCTGCTCTGAGCACATATACCAACAGCCCTGGCCAAGCAGGTGTCCTCCTATAAATGCCAGTTCAACACATGGTCCATCACGTGGCAGCACAGAAAAGAGCAGTGACCTCTAAATAAGGAGATCACTCTCAAGCTATATAAAAAAAGGTTTTATGAAGAACAAATCATTCCTGCGAGTTCTTTTTCTGCTGCCTTTATTCCTCCAATATGTCAATAATAGATGATGTTACAGATGACCACAGTTAAGTTCTGCTGAAAGTCAGTAATTAGAGCCATATCTGATTAATTAGCAGCAGCACAATGGAGTGCTGAGCAGTGCAGCCTGATTCATGAGCTGTTAAATTAGTAAACTGGAGAACAAGACACTGGTATGTGCACACTCTGAGGCACTCACCCTTGAGGTAAAATTTCTGCAGCATTATTGAGCAGAAATAAACCGAATCCTAGCACAGTACTGAAGTGCTATCTCCTCCTGAGAGGGTGAATCTAGATTAATTTAGATGAAATTTAGATTTGAACAAATTCAAAGCAGCCCATTTCCATGCTTTTACTGGGCCACATCATTACCTCATAGAAACTCATGTCGCTGTGCTGAGTCCAGCCGAGTTACACTAAGTGACATTAAGAATATTATGGCTGCAAAGACACATTTTCAAAGTCAGAAAAGAAAAAGTACATTTTAGTAGCTGACCCAAATCATAGCACACCACAGTACACAATTATCCCTTAAAAATATGACTGGATATCAGATTTTCTCATGCTGTTAATAATGAGAGCCAGTGCCACAACAGGAGTTACTGCAGTCAGTTAAGTTCTCAGCATGTGCTATCACCGAAATCAATCCTCCAGAACAGTGACAAATATTTACCAGTGTATCCCCAGCTTCCACTTTAATAATGAGCATAAGTATCTGGGTGACAGAAAAAAATGAAAAATGTACAATCTAGGGTGATATTTTATGTCCTCATCAAAAAGTTACTCACCCCAGCCAAGAAGAATTTTGCAAGGTGCACATATATATTACACACAGCCTAATATAACACTCTAATCCTCTCAAATAGGTTTTTGAGGGCCACATGGTAAATCATATTATTGTTAAATTTCAGTGACTCGGGTGCACCTCATTGCTCTGACTTTCATTGGAAAGCCATTAACAAAGTGCATGATAGGATTTTCTATCAGATTCAGCATAGCAGAAGTATGAAGTTGCTTCTTCCAATCCCCACACCAGACTTTTAGTCAGAAAATGCAAGTCCCACAGCAGCTTCAAAGAAACCCTTAAATCTAATCACCTGCTCATTGCAGTATTCACTAGAGCAGCAGCTGATGATGACAAAAATCTTCCAGGCTTTTTCACATGTATCTTTGAAAGGCAGGAAACACGAAAATTCACCATTAAGAGTACATATGGATAAAGCAGGAAAATATAAATAATAAAATGCTCACAGGACTCATGCAGTCTGAAACACCTGCAAACATTGAACCTCCAGCTAATAATGAACATAGTATTGCCTTCCGTGATTTTCTCAGCACACACAAACCAGTGCTTGTGAGTCCAAGTCAATGGCACAGCATTTTAAGCCTGTGAGTTGTTACAAGTTTAGAACTAGAATTACACAGTGGGACACAACAGGGTCTCGTCCCAGAGTTCAGCCAGCAACATGCCCACAGAGATCCTCCCTATAGGACATAGTTTTCTTAATATTCTTAACATTAAGAATCTTGTGTTTTCTTAATATTCTTAATCATCCTGCTAAATAAACATGCCTACAGGCTGCCTATTGCCTGAAGAGCAATAAGGAATGGAACAACTCAGCAACATGGGATTCAGAAACCACCATTCAAGCACAGCAACACCAAACTCCCATATTATTAACACGCATGAATGTGCATACTTTGAGGTTGTCAGATCATTTGTTGTCTTTAAACAGTAAACATGTAAAGACAAACCACAGCATCATGCTCCTCATGTTCTTTCTCTGTATTCTCTGGGAAAATAATGAAGTAACCCCCACCTTGTAAAAAAGGCATTATATGCTAACTGCCCATAAAATATTAGACAAAACCCAGACACAGAGCTCTGTGCAGTTTCATCTGTTTCCAAAGCCAATTATACTAACCCAGAACTATGTAGAAAACACATAAAAAAAGACCAGTTTGGCTAACTCCCCACACTGTGTTTGCTGGGTAATGCAGGATCTTAGTGTGCACTACAAAACAGCAGTCGCTGCACAGTTTTGCAGCATTCCCACAAGGTCAAGAGGCTACAATCAGCTCCTGGCATCTTCCTGTATTTACTACAGTATGATCTTACCCATCCAATAATCCCTAGGGATCACACTCCTTTCCCATCCCCTGTACCAGCATCTCAGTAATAAATAAGCCTTTTCTTCTTCTACAGTTTT